TGAGTTTTTTTTTTTTTTTTTTCTTTTTGTTGTGTTGTTTATCTAGTATATCAATAATTATTTATCTTATCTTTGAAAGCCAATAGGTTCGTCGAAGAGAAAGCCATGACCATGTGAAGAGAAAGCCTTGGTCTACGTACTATGGTAATGCAATGTGACTCCAAGAGAAAGCCAATACTGAAATATATATTATTTTGGCATAAGTTCGAAACTAAGGACGTTTGAAGAAATGAGTTCCTACGCATTACGAATCTCTGGAAAAGGGAAGTTCTTGGTGTGTTATATTTCCTAACTTAGTTTACATTATAAAAAAGGATTACTTGATCTTATTATGATTTATATCTTGTAGGAAATCGGATCTTATGGAAATAAAGAAAGAGAGGCTTGCACCAAAAGGAGATATTGGAAAGAGAAGAAGGAGATCATCACTTACCATATCTCTTGCTACATATTAGGAAGGAATTCGGAAAAAGAGTCCCATGCTTGGAAAAGACTCCAACCCCAAGGAGATCGTATATATACTCTACTTGAAGATGGAATGCGGGCCGCTGAGTTTATCTTCTACACACGCCATATTCGAGCTTCAAGCTTTTTGTGCTTTCGTTTTTGGTTTCAACTCAGTCCTTGATACACTCGGACATCAAGTAACTGAAATTGTTTTGGTTGTATTTTCTTCATTTTAATTCAGATATTTTGTGGTTTACACTTAGGGAGTAAGTGTTTAAGAATAAGTACACGGAACGTGGCCAGAGAAGTAGTTGATAGGTTAGTTCATAGTTGAGGCTAGACTAGAAGGGAGTTCTAGTTTTTGTAAGACTAAACTATGTTCGAAAGAGTTATCAATGAAAGATCTCTGAGGGGAAGTGAGATGCTTCTCTGAAGAGTTTTTAAATCTTCGGTTTATTGCTTCCGCTACTTTTAGTCTTTTCACTTGTTCGTACAAAGTTGAGCACTCGCGTTAAAAACATACGTTTCAAATACATATTTCGAGTTTTAAAAAAATGACATCATAAAAGTTGTAGCTATGACTAAAGAAGATAAAAAAGCAGAAACCCTTGACAAACCTGAAGTTTCCAAACCTGTCCAAGAATGGGCCAAGCCTGTAGACCAAGGCAGGCCGGCCACGGACTTAGGGGTTATCCAGCCTATAGAAAGATGGGCCCAGCCCTCACCGGCCTGCTTTGGGCCAGCAAAGCAGCATTCAGATGGCCCAAGTCCGCTTGACAGTACTAAGAACACATTATGGTCACAAGACAATATAGTTTCAATTCTATTTAAAAAAAAATATATATTATTAATGATGTTTAGCATACTCTCCATATCAAAATTAACAGTAAACCATAAAAATCAAAAAGTGCATGATCTAGTAACAGACATAAACATAAAAAATGAACAAGATTCATAATGATCAGAAGAAACGAACAAAGTTGAGAAAAGAGGCACATATGTGAATCCTGATAACAATTAGTTCCAGCATACTCAAATTTCAATCCTAGACCCTACTGCAAATCTCGCACTTGAATAAAAGGTTGTTAAAATCAACTTCTACTTTGAACTTTCTCCTTTTGCCAAAGCCTATCAATAGCACTGTCTGCATCACCCTGTAGAATAAAAAAAAAAGGATAAAGGAATTTCCACATCTTAATTAAGACATAAATCAACTAGTAAGAACTAAACTTGGGAATACTTTTCTGTGCAATCAAGGTTCCAACTTAATTTCAAGGATCCAACTAAGCATAAATGGTCTTCTCCCAAAACTCTCAAACTAAGTTTGCTGGTCAATCCAACGTCAAAGGAGACATTTTTCAGTCACTTTCTTAGTGAATATCATAATTCGTAATCCCCACCCTCCTATATATTTTCTCCAGTAGACTAGAAAGACATTCTTATCATGAAAACAAGTTATTTTGAAATGAAACACAACAACTAATCAATGTATTAGTGTATCGGCCATTCTCATCCAAATGCCCAATGTTGAGATGGATAGAAGCGTGATCCTCGAATGTGATCAGCCTATTAGTGGCCGAGATTCATTATCATCATGAACAAAAAAATAAAAAAATAAAAAAAATAGGACATTCAGACGACACAATTAATAAAATTCAAAGTTCTTTCAATCTTTTTGTGATTTTCAAGAAATCATAATTTTCACATTTACAAAGATAAACGTACCATATCCTGGGGATGTAGATGCATGCTATGTCCCTCGTCATGCTGCATCTTAGATATCTCTTCATGGACACAAGAAATTCAACAAATGAAATATGAACCCAAGTCAAAAGAAAATTCGAAAAAGCTTGGAGTTTTAAGTCAATAAGGAGATACTTACTAAATAAACGATATGATATAGCCATAGCTTGGCTGAACTGGAGCTGCGCCTGCGACGTTACTAAATAAACAATGTGATATAGGCCATTTCGGGCAGGTATCCCCCTATGAGAAGGGCTTAAGTACATTCAGATCCAATTCTACACTCCACATACATTACATGAACTCTTTGATTACAGAGCATCCATCATCTTCTTCCCCTAAACTAACTTGGCGTCAAAGTGCTAACGACGAGAGTCCTTCCCGGCCCTTTTGCAGGTCATTTCATAGCGGCTCAGGTGGAACGAAACTCATATTCAGTCGATTCAACGGTGACTCGAACCTCAGGCTCATCAAAATGGAATGAAACGTAGAAGAGATGTGAGAAGGAGAAAATTAGGGAGGATATTAAAAAAAATGTGGGGAACATGAAAGGGAGAAATGAATGAGAAAAGTTAGGAAGAGATAAATGAAAAGTAAAGAGAATGTCTATTGTATAAAATAAATTGCCTAGATATAATTGGAGCTTAACATGTATGGATGAATTTTTTTTTTAAAAAAAAAATTGTCTTACGGGGATATATTCATTTGGGATTTCGAATGATATTTTGAGTATTTTTTTAAGATTTGAGACTTTTTAGGATTTTTAGATTTTGGAGGAAGCCTATGAAGTCTTAAGTCTGGAAGTGGTGAGATTTTGTATCAGGTTTTTTCTTTTGAAATCCCAACAAATCTTAAAAGTCTTAACAAATCATAGTCTCAAAAAAGTTAAATACCTCTAGATTTTGTAACACTTTTTAAAATCTCAAATGAATACATTGAGACTCTTAAAACTCTTAAAAAATCTTAATTAAATATGTCAAGATTTATAAAGTCATAAAAAATCTAAATTAAATGGAATTTTTAAAAATTATAAAATTTTTGACTAATTAAATGTATATATTAAAGTCAATATATTTATATTATCATTTTATCATATTTATATATAAAACATATCAAACTAATCATCTACCAATAAGTTTGATTAGATATTTTATATTGATTTAAAAAAATTAATTAATTTTATTCTTATGTTACAATTGAATATAAAAAAACTATAATTAATATCATGATAATTAAAATATTGCAAGTAGATATACATACGAACATTTTTTTTTTTTTTTTTTTTTTTTCAAACGGCATAAACATACTCATAAAAAAGGCCAAAAGGCCATGTACAACAGGCGAGCCCGAAGCCGGGAAATGGGAGGTTACACACGCAACTAATGTAACCTAGACAGAATACCAACTAGCAAAGCTAGAACGACCAGCACACCAATGATTTAAATACCGTACCGTACCTGCCGGTAATACTGGATACCGACCATTGGTACAGTACAAATACACTCAAAATACCGGATTTACGGTTATATCGGTTTATACCGGAATCATACTGTAAATACCGGTCCAAAATACCGGTAAATAATAAAAAAATAATAAAATTAAAATTTATTAATTTAAAAACATAAAATTTAAATTGGTAGTTAAATATTTTATTTTATCTCATTGAGAAGTTGAAATTAATGATTATAGTTATTTATTTTTTACTTTTTTGCATTTGGTATTATATATTTTTATGTATATTCATATATATCATTATATGTGTTAGTCCGGTAATACCACCAATATTACCGGTCATACCGGTAATACCGCGTACCGGTGGCTAGACCGGTATAACCACCGGTACGGTATTTAAAACACTGCAGCACACTACAACACCAACACCAAACTAAAACCACAACGAAAAAAATACAGAAATAAGAAATCCCCAACAGGGTAATAGTCAAGTGTAAACTCCCAATAGGAGAATAAAGGCTACACTCGGCCAAACTGGGGCCAACGGCCTAATCCAAAAACACATAAACCACACCAACACAAACACAAAGATCACACAACAACGAAAAACAATAACATAAACAACAATAAATTAAAACAGAGCCCTTCCCCAGCGATCCGAACTGAGCTCAACCAGCAGTGAACGACCGACACAAAAAAAGCCTCGAGCCCAAGAACCGCTACCGAAACTGCACAAACGCCTATACAGCAGGTGAACTCAACTCCCGAGACAGTCTCGAATCGACCCATCTCTAACCGAGAGAGCCCGAACCAGCCCACCACGCCAGCCCCACCGAACTCGTCTACCACCACTAGCCAAGCTCGATAGGACCCAATCCCCCACCGCTTAACACCACTAGCTGGTCGAGGAAAAAGCGTGAGTGGCCCGGGCCCTCCACCCCAATGGCCGCCCCAGACCGACACAGCCGTCGGGATCCCGCCCCACTCATCGGCTCCCGCACCCACTGACATCACCACGAATTTCCAAGGACCAGCGGCAAAGTCCCATCTAAACAGGCAAACCCCCGCCGGAGAGCCACAGCCCAGCAGCCGCAAAGGAAGGCCAATAGAAGTGCGAAACATTGTGAACCAGAGACCCACCGACAATCTAAGAAAAAGCCTCAAATCGTCAGTCGAACGACGGCCGCACGCGTCATCACCTCCCACCAAAACTCCATCAGCGACCACAGACCGGGCCACCGCATCCCAAGCAATCCATGGCCACATCGAAAGCGCGCTGCACCGGGAGTGGGCCAGGTAGTCAAGGACGACCCCTGACCGAGCTATTCTGTCGCGGAGGAAGGCGTAGAGATCGGATTTTGGGAGGAAGGGTTTCGAGAGAATTGGGGATCACGGATGTAGAGAGAGAAATTTATGCACACTCCGTTATATATTTTTTACACATATGAACACTAACTTTAGGAATCTATATATATATAAAAAGGTTTGATTATTTTTTAAATAGTAACTATTTCCCTCTAAAAAAATCTATTTACTATTTCAGGAAAATTAATTTAACAATTATGGTATATTTCAAATAATCAATTATGGAAATTGCGGTTAAGTATTTAAGGAAATGATATAAGCCATAAAAAAATTATTTTTAAGATACCTTAATTACTCAAATCATGTGAATTTGGATGATTTACCTAAATATAGAAATTTCGGCTACAATATCAATTATGTTATTTGCTTAAAACCTTCCAACTAAATTGTGTAATTAATTATTTAATAAGTGTTTTATATTTTTCGTGTAATTCTTTTGTAAAATGCATTGTTAATATACCTTAATTACGCAAATTGTGTAAATCCGAATAATTTATTTAATCCACAAATAATTACTAGAACTATGAAAATATCAACTAAAATAATCAATTATACGATTTGTAAAAAACTATTCTAAAAAATTGTGTTAATGACAGTTTTTATTTAAATATTATTTAATAATTGTTATTTTTTTATAAAATTATTCCAAACTAATTATTTTAGTGCCAACTTCTATTTAATTATTTTTTTAATAACTGTTTTCTTGTGTCTTTTTTATTTTTATCTATAAAAAACGTGGTCTCGATTTTGTTTTGTACGCTGAGCAATTAATTTTGTGGTAAAACTTTATATCAGTTTTTGTATTTTATCAATAAAGTATGAAATCAAATTATTTGGTATACTATATATTGATCCAATATACCTACTTATGGTAAAAATGGTATCTCGATATATTTTTTTTTTTTATATTGCTAAGCATTTTACTCGATATTAATGAGAGAAAAATCTGGAGAATGCTTTAGTTTGTAAATGTGCGTGGAACATATCAAATTATTTTGTATATATATAAAGGTTTGTATTTACTTGAATCACATTTTAGTCAAATTGAATTTCTGAATAAAAATTTTAAAATTACACCTATTTGGAAATGAATATAATGTAATTTATTATATTAATTACTTGCACCGTACGGGTTGTATACCAATTTTGAATAGACATATTTAATATAATTTGCACAATTTATATTTCATATAACATTTTCAACAAATTAATATTGGTAAGTTGTATTACATATTGATTTCATATTTTTAATTTATAAATATTATTTAATAAGTATTTTTAATTTACAAATATTAAATAATATTTCTTACCCGTGCATCACACGAGATTCGTACTAGTTTTAGATTTTACATTAAATAAACTTGATAAAAATATAAAATTATAAAAAAAACTTTTAAAAAATCAGTTTCAACCAATCTTTTAGTTAGTACTTTTTGGGTATTTTTGGTAATAAAAGCAATATACTTCCTCATGTTCATAATAATTTCTCGTTTCAAAAAGTTGCACAATAATTAAGAATATTTTTTGTCGATAATAATTCTATTTAATGAAAATTAATAACATGAAAATTAAGAGTGAATATGAAAAGGCGTAGTCTCTATTTATTAACTAAATGAAAGTATAATGAAAAATATGTATAAAAGATCTAAAACATCATTTATTTAAATTTAATTAATGGTCGATAAAGTCAAAATGACATTTAAAAAAAAAAAGAAAGAGAAAGTAATATAATTGGTGAAAACAATATTTGACGGGTAAACGTATTGATTCAAGTCCAGCCACCGAAATGTAAATTCGAAATTATGGGATAGGTAGGTAAATAATATCTGTTTAAAAACATTAATTTAGATTCATTTTATGTCTTTGTATGGAGTCAAAAAACTATGTGACCCCGGCCCTATATAATACACAGAACAAACTGTGCGCCAAACGTTTTGTCCATAAAAGGGTTGTAAAATCACTCACTCGCACTTCCTCCCCTTTAATAGTTATTACATATTTTTTCGGTCCAAATGGACAGTCATACTGCTCTCTTCCTTAACTGGGCTTACAATTCCTACCAAGACAAGGTAACAAAATTTCCTTGCTTTTAGCTTCAATTTCTCTGTTAATTGTTTTCATTGATTTGTATTATCAACTTTTTCCAAAGCATTAATTTGCATTTATTGATATTTTTGTTGGGACAATAAAAAAAATACAAAAAATAAAAATCAGAGCATGGAAGATTTGAGGCAATCTGTGGGTGTGGCTATGGAAATGCAGAATAGGGTCCGCTACACTACCCAAGTCCATGACAAAGTTGAATTACAAAATGACGTGGCAACAAAAAATAAAAATAAAAATCTACAAACAAAAATTAATGAATCAATTCATTTTCTCCAAATTGCAATTTTTATTTTCCCTAACCTAATCTCTCTTCTCCCCACATATCTGTCGGCTTCTTTGAGAGAAAAACTAAAGGGTAACAATTTTCTTACAGTTACTTTTCGTTTCATTCCTTTCTTTTTTTCCTATTCGCAGCTCACAAACAAGATTGAAGGGGCGCCATTGTTTTTTGAAGTTCTGAGTTCACGTGATTTGAATGTTAGTTTTATTCAATTGAATAACGATTTGAATGTTCTTGTCTGCAGGCAAACTTATTATCTTCCATTGTTGGATGAAGAAAAATAAAACAAAGGATCTGTTGTTATAAAATTGATTGTTGGGGGAGGAAAAATAAAACAAAAGATCTGTGATACAAATGATTAATTATATGGCTTGATTGTTAGTTTTCCAAACTTTTAGCCGCCATGAGGAAAGGAAGAAAGAGGAGTTTGTGCAATTCTTTAACCGGCACCGGGAAGAAAGAGGAGTTAGTGGAAGATTTCATTTTAAATCTTAAACCCTTAATTGAAGAAAGAGGAGTCAGTGGATAGGATTTAGTTTTAAATCTTAGCCCTTAATTACTATTTAATCTAAATCGTATAGCTCACTTTGTCAAAAGAATTTGTAAAGAGACTTGGGTAAAGTAGCATTATTCTGCAGAATATGAGGCTGAAGGTCCAAGAAGAGGTCCAGTCCAAAGATTTGGATATAGCCCAACTAAAAGCCCTGCTCACCAGAGTTCTCAAAGAGAGGGACGAGGCCCAAAAGGCCTGCCAGAAAGCGTGTCTCCAAATAGCACTTCTCCACAAAGAGAGGTATTAAGTTTCTCAAAGAGAGGTATTAAGTTTCTCTCTCTTCATACTAAACTAGTTTTTGTCCCATGCATTTGCACGGAAAACTATATGATACATGAAAAAATAATAAAAATTATAAACAATTGTAAAAATCATAACAAATTCATTGAAAAAAATTAAGAAAAAAAATATAAATATTCTTAAAAACTTCTTTATAAAACAACGTCGTGGTTTTTCTATCGTCAAAATCTCCCTCAGCTCAAATCAAAATCTTCAAACCCCACTGACTCGTAACTCTAAAAAGCGCCACGTATAATTGCGAATGACTAAATGCAGAGCTCTTCAGTAGTAAGCCGACGTACGACAGAGCCTGTCTTTGACTCTTATTGATCATGTCATAGCATAGGAAACACTTCTTTATATTGTTTGTCCTCGATTCTTATTGATTGATAGACATTGTCCTTGCTTCTTAATAAAAAAAAATACCATCTAAATATAAATGAGTAAATATAATATTAATTTTTTATATAAACAAAAAATTTAAAGTAATTGATAATGAGTATAGAATTACCCTTGCGGATTCAAGTTATTTCAACGATGTTCTTTTTATATATCTAAGATTTAATTTTTTTCTGATTTATATGAATATAAGCACATTTGACTAATTTTTATAAAATTTATTGAAAAAAGTTACTATTTTTTTGAAAAACTGATAAAATATTAAGATAATACTGTACTTAACATAAATGTGGGATTAATTAAAATAAATATTTTTAATTAGTCATTAACTAATTATATTTAACTATAAAAAACCTTCTTAAATGTGAGATTAATGAGTAATTAATTAAAAAAAATGTAACTCCTTTTGGAGGGAAAGTGAAAATATTTTTATTAAATGTTTTATTAAATGGGATTAGCTAGCAATTATATATATATAGATGTGCAGGGCTAAAAACCCGCCAGCTAGTAATTGGTATTAAGTTTCTCTCTTGTCATATTAAATGTGCAGGGTTGTTCTCCGTGAATCTTTTTGGTAAAAAAATCAGCTAGTAATTGGTATTAAGTTTCTCTCTCGTCATATAAAATGTGCAGGGTTGTTCTCCGTGAATCTTTTTGGTAAAAAAATTCATATATATGTATATATACTACCACATAACCACAAATATATGTTCAGATATACTTTATATATACATTAGATAAACATGATATGACATTTCTCTAATATTAATCGTATAGTTATATATAAGATAAACAACATATAAACAACACTGAAACAGTATAAAATATAATACACACTTCTGAATGACTGAAAAATCCAAATCGAATGTAGTTATACATTAGATAAACAACATATGTCTACTTTACCAAAAATTCTAGACATATGTACTTTTCTCACTCGTCCGTCGGCAGAAACTAATGGATCTCTGGTCGCCGGCCTTGTTCTCGCCCTCAGCCGCTGCTGTTGCATTCCGCCGGTCACAGAAATCACCTCGGCCGTGAGTGGCCTGGTGCTCGAAAATTGCTCAGCCGCAGACCCCTGCTCTCGACTGCTCCTCTGTCAGGTCGTCGGCTCTCGTCTCTATCGCGGACAGCTCGGCCTCCTCATGCCTGGTCGCTGGGTTGGCGACTTTCAGACGCCAGTGAGTGTTGCCCTCCTCGCTGTCTGACTAGTGCCAAAAAGCGAATAGAGACGGTGGGAAGATTTGACGGGAGGCTTGAGAATAAATTCGGGCCAGCTTGCTATGAGGCTTAGTTTAAATTAATGGAGATTTGTTGGTGCTGGTGGTTAGTCCGAACATGGTGCTGGTGGTTAGGGTAGGGTTTCTTGAATCTGTTGGTGGCGGCTGGGGAAGAACAGTTGGTTAAATGATTATCTGAAGAGAGAAAATCAAAAGCTTTAATTAATTAAACTCTGTACTTTTCAATTTAAGTTACGAGTTTCGTACATTTAATAATATTTAACAAAGGAATAGTAGGAGGTGTAATTTCCTCCAGAATTTTAAAATTTGATTTGGGCTGCCCACTTAGGCCTGCTCTTTAGTGGGCCTATAAAATAGGAGCCCAACACAGCCTTTTGGTTAGTACGGCGTAAGCTGGCCCGCTGGCCTGAGCATGATAACGTTCTATGGTAATGCAATGTTACTCCAACAGAAAGCCAATACATATTTCGAGTTTTAAAAAAATGACATTATAAAAGTTGTAGCTATGAATAAAGAAGATAAAAAAGCAGAAACCCTTGACAGACCTGAAGTTTCCAAACCTGTCCAAGAATGGGCCAAGCCTGTAGACCAAGGCGGGCAGGCCACGGACTTAGGGGTTACCCAGCCTATAGAAAGATGGGCCCAGCCCTCACCGGCCTGCTTTGGGCCAGCAAAGCAGCATTCAGATGGCCCAAGTCCGCTTGACAGTACTAAGAACACATTATGGTCACAAGACAATATAATTTCAATTCTATTTCCAAAAAAAAAAAAAAATTATTAATGATGTTTAGCATACTCTCCATATCAAAATTAACAGTAAACCATAAAAATCAAAAAGTGCATGGTCTACTAACAGACAAACATAAAAAATGAACAAGATTCATAATGATCAGAAGAAACGAATAAAGTTGAGAAAAGAGGCACAAATGTGAATCCTGATAGCAATTAGTTCCAGCATACTCAAATTTCAATCCTAGACCCTACTGCAAATCTCGCACTTGAATAAAAGGTTCTTAAAATCAACTCGTTTTCATGACTCAACACGCGGACTTCTACTTTGAACTTTCTTCTTTTGCCAAAGCCTATCAATAGCACTATCCACATCACCCTGTAGAATTAAAAAAAAAATAAAAAGATAAAGGACTTTCCACATCTCAATTAAGACATAAATCAACTAGTAAGAACTAAACTTAGGAATACTTTTCTGTGCAATCAAGGTTCCAACTTAATTTCAAGGATCCAACTAAGCATAAACGGTCTTCTCTCAAAACTCTCAAACTAAGTTTGCTGGTCAATCCAACGTCAAAGGAGACATTTTTCAGTCACTTTCTTAGTGAATATCATAATTCGTATAATTTCCCCCCTCCCATATATTTTCTCCAGTAGACTAGAAAGACATTCTTATCATGAAAACAAGTTATTTTGAAATGAAACACAACAACTAATCAGTGTATTAGTGTATCAGTCATTCTCATCCAAATGCCTAATGTTGAGTTGGACAGAAGCGTGATCCTTGGATGTGATCAGCCTATTACTGGCCGAGATTCATTATCATCATGACCAAAAAAGAAAATACAAAGTATAAAAAAAAAAAATAGGACACTCAAACGTCACAATTAATAAAATTCAAAGTTCTTTCAATCTTTTTGTGATTTTCAAGAAATCATAATTTTCACATTTACAAAGATAAACATACCATTTCCTGGGGATGTAGATGCATGCTATGTCCCTCGTGCTGCATCTTAGATATCTCTTCATGGACACAAGAAATTCAACAAATGAAAAATGAACCCAAGTAAAAGGAAAATTCGAAAAAAACTTGGAGTTTTAAGTCAATAAGGAGATACTTACTAAATAAACGATGTGATATAGCCATAGCTTGGCTGAACTGGAGCTGCGCCTGCGACTTTACTAATTGGCAAGTCTCATAACTCGGTCAACTTAACTAGAATCGAGCTTCAAATAGCTGAGTTGAGCAAATCGAGCCACCTAGAAGTAATTGAAGTCGAGTTAATTGAGAAGATAGAAGTAAGAACAATTAAACCATCAAACTTAATGATAGGACAACCGACCTATTTCACCTTAGAACGGGAACTAGAGGGTAGTTGAGGTAATCCATGAAGCAGATCTATTGACCTTCAACGGGTCAACCTACTGAGCTAATCCATAAATTGACAGGGCGCCGGCGTGTTCACGTGCAAGAATGGCGAGCTCCGGTCGTTCTCCAGTGTCTACTTCATTCACAATATATTATTTTAAATTTTCAAGAATAAATTAATTGTAACTTATCAAATAATATAATTGGAAATAGTTATATATTTATATTAAATATTATATGCTACGATCATTTTAAATTAGTATCATTTCAGAGATATGATATTATATACAAAATTATATTTCAATTTAAAATATTACCAAAATGTCCAACTTTAAAATTATGAATGAAAATAAAATTATGGTAATGAATCATTGCTGAAAAGGATAAAAATATTAATTATGGACATTTCGTAGCAGCTCAGGCGGAACGGAACTCAGATTCAACCGATTCAATGGTGACTGGAACCTCAGGCTCATCAAAATGGAATGAAACATAGAGGAGATGAGAGAAGGAGAAAATTGGAGAGGATATTAAAAAGAGAATGTCTATTGTATCAAATTAATTGCCTAGATATAATTGGAACTTACCATGTATGGATTATTTATTTTTTTTTTAAAAAAAAAATTGCCTTAGGGGGGTGTATTCTTTTGGAATTTTGAATGATATTTTGAGATTTTTTTTTAAGATTTTTAGATTTTTAAGGAAGCTTATGAAATCTCAAGTCTAGAAGTGAGATTTGAAGTGAGATTTCGTATCAAGTTTTTTTTTTTGAATCCCAACAAATATTAAAAGTTTTAACAAATCATAGTCTCAAAAAAGTTAAATACCTTCATATTTTGTAACACTTTTTAAAATCTCAAATGAATACACCGAGACATTTAAAACTCTTTAAAAAACCCAAATGGATGCACTTTTAAGTATTCCGTTAGTTACGGAAATCATTATAAGGAATGCTTTTTTTTTCTTTTGCTGTGTTGTTTATCTAGTATATCAATAATTATTTATCTTATCTTCGAAAGCCAATAGGTTCGTCGAAGAGAAAGCCTTGGTCTACGTACTATGGTAATGCAATGTGACTCCAAGAGAAAGCCAATACTGAAAGATATATTATTTTGGCATAAGTTCGAAACTAAGGACGTTTGAAGAAATGAGTTCCTATGCATTAGGAATCTCTGAAAAAGGGAAGTT